AAATCGTATCTAGCCTTCATAGAGTTAAATTTAACTAATCTCTCCTCATAGCTTAACACAGATCTGAGTTCATTTGGGATGCTCATACGAGTTGCTTTTCTCTGAACCTTTTCAATAGATTTCAAATGTCCAGCTTGAAATGGATACCAACTCGGTACTCCATACTCTAAAATTGGTCTCACGAGGGAATTATATAATTTGATAAAGGCTTCGGAGTGATTGTATTTCAAAGTTCGCTTAATAAAGCCAAGTTTCAGACCCTTGGAAGTGACATCATTAACGTGAGCACCCCATGATAAATTAGATGCAATGTTAACACCAAGGTACTTGTGAGTAGAAGTGAGCTGAAGGCAAGCTTCATTGATGTGATAACTTTTTGGAGATTGTGCTCGACTAGTTGATCGAGTGATTCGCATTACTCTACATTTGTTCGGGTTGAGGGACATTTCACACCCCTCGCTCCACCTACAAACATGGTCGAGATCACTCTGGAGGATGGCTTCATCATTAGAAGAGAAAATAGCACGATAAAGAAGAGTGTCATCGGCGTAAAGAGGGATAGTAGATTGGATAGTATCAGGAAGGTCACAGATAAATAAATTAAAAAGAATAGGCCCAAGGACTGACCCCTGGGGGACCCCAGAGGTCACAGGGGCAACAGGAGAAGATTGACCCCGAAAAAGAACTGTTTGAGAGCGCCCAATAAAAAAAAAATGAAGCCACCTCCAGAGCGAGCCACAAAATCCATAATTATAAAGTTTAGCCAGAAGAGCGGAATGATCAACCCGGTCAAATGCAGAGCTCCAATCTAGAAACACTACGTCAATATGGGGAGGGGATCTTGAGTCAAGAATTGCAGACCAATGGTGAATCACTGACGACAAGAGAGTAGAACAAGAAAGGCCCTTAATGAATCCATGTTGAAAACTGGAGACAAGCCCTTTGTCTAACATAAATGATGTAATGTTGTCAACTACTACTCTTTCGAGCATTTTGCCTACAACAGAGCAGAGATATTGGCCTGTAATTCCGAACACAAGCTCACTCTCCCTTTTTATACACTGGAACTATATTGGCATGTTTCCAATCGTCTGGTAACATACCTTTATCAAGTGAGATATTAAACATTTTAGATAATGGCTCACATACATATATAGCACTTAATTTCAACATAGAAGTTGTAATATTGTCAGATCCGGGGAACTTTCCCGAACTTCAATTTGTTAATCAATTGGAGAACCATCTGCGGTGAGGTTTGAATTGGAGGAACTTCATCCAGTTCAGAAGGCCTAATGTCAGTAGGGGAAGGAATGTCCTTGTAGGATGGCTACTAAAATTTTAAGAGAAGTGTTCATTAAAGGATTGGGCAATTTTCAAGATGTTTATACAGTAAATGCTTTTGTGCTTTCTCCCAAAAGTTTCAAAACACTTCCTGCTATATTGATAACAGTACTACTCATTTTGCCATGATGGACCCCCAGTGCTCTTAGGAGAGTATTTTTAGACTGGCATGTGCATGATACAATACAATACAATACATGATATTGTTGTTAAGTACATTCTAAAACATTGCACAGTAATCCCAGGCACCAATATGCGAGATATTTTAATGACTCCAGGGCTTAGTAACTGGCCTCTGATTGTGAATAATGACCCGCAATTCTAAAAGCACAAGACTCAAAATGCTTTCTTGACTGCTTATTATTTAATGTAAAAAAACATCAATAATGACTTTTTGTATTGTTGTTAATGATGATGCCTATATTTTGAAGCAGATAACCTTTTCTTCATGGGATGTATAATTTGTCCATTATCGTCACAAAATTAACATTACCAGAAATTCACCATTAAAGGCTATGGTAATAATTACTCTAGCCCTATAAATCTATTGTTGGTTGTTGTTAAACTGTCAAATATTAATATTCAATGCTTTATAGCTTCATGTATCATGAGACCGATCCCTCTTCAAGCATTGTTGAATACAAAATAAATGTAAATTTTATTTTGTGAATTCTTGCCTTGATAAACCAACTAATTGCCGATTTCCTCCCAAGGGAGAACACCCCTCAAAAACAAAATGGAAGAGTCAGCAGCATCTAGCAACATAAATGAACATCCCTGAAATGCTTAACACATCCTGATAAATAAATAAATTTAAAAGAAATATCAGTTTGTTGAGACAGTAAAGTGTACATTAATGCAAAATATACAGTACTACTATTATCTCAAGGCAAATTGTTTTTGTTGTTTTTGTTCTTGTTCTTTTTGTTATCAGAACTTTAAAAGTCGCCAGTTTTGAACGGACGTGCAGTGAGTGAGCACCGTCAAGGAATATGAATAGACAAACCAAAACATTTTTAAAAAAGAATGTTTTAAAGACAAAAAATATACCAAAAGTACCATAAAAATCATTTTTATTGAAATTAACTTGCTCATTTTGGAGTAACATAAAATTGTCAACTTGAACATAGAAATTAGTGTATTTAAATAATGTTTAACCATAATTTTACATAATTTTAAAATGATTATATACCAGTCACTTGAAGTGCTTCTATTATTCTTATTATGATCCAGCATAAAGATCAGGGTACACATTTTTAATATTCAATAATTTCTATGCTCAATTTAATAATGTTTATGTAATTGCAAAATAAGTTAATTTCAAAGTGATTTTTTAATGATTTTTTTGTCATTTTCAGGGGATAATAAAGCTTTAACTTAATAGAACTTACAATAAACATAACAAATATATGGACGTATGAGCTAATACTCCTAAATTGGTTATTAGGTTAGTGTTTACAATGTAAATATGAACAGGTATGAAAGAATGCCGAAATGAAAAAAACAGATCTATAGAATGGTATCTATTTGACAAATGGAAAACATTAAAGCTACAGTATGTCCGGATTATCAAATTTTCTTCGACAGAATACTGTTATATGCCAATATAGAACATGATATAGAACAATATGATGTGATGTCATCATGACCATATTTAGGCATATCACATGTTTTTGTTATATAAAATTTGATAGTCTGGATAGGGCTTCTTAGATTGGTTATGAGATTGACATTTACATTATGTATGTAAATGTATTGATTCATTGATTCATACTTGATTGTGAAGTGTTCAAGCTGAATTAATGAATCATCATTTTATGAATTAAATGATGCATGATACTTCTGACCTTGAAAGTGTGGTAACAGAATTTCCATGTGTGGTTTGCTATATTTTTGGTGTCATTCTGATGTTTACATGTTTCGATGTATTAGTGTTATTTTTGTAAATTAAATGCCATATATGGAAAATAACTTGTTACTTGATCTTTTCATACTCTTCTATGTATGCTCTTCTTCCCTTTTTTCACTACATAATCTTATTATTTCATTATAATCATGATCATGATCATCATCACCATCACTGTAATCATAATCCTTAATATCATCATTATCATCATCTTCATCATTATCATCACTGTCAATCATCGTTGCCGTTATTGTCATCACCATCATTACCCATCGTGATATTTATTGTGATCATATTCATCTTTTTTTATTCATCGTTTGCATCATTTGCATATTCATCGTCTTCTTAGTCATCTGCATCTTCATTATGCTCACATGACCATTGTAACTATCATCATTTTCCATCATCACATCACCGCATAATATTAAAATGTTGACATGAAATTCACTTCAACTTTCAATTCATACAAACATTGTATTCATAATTTATAATGTTATAAATCTTCCATTTGTATTTTAAGATGAAGATAAGTATTTTCTAATATTTATATCAATTTTATTTTTTTCTTTCAGGTGAACAAGAAAATCAGTGACCTATACAAAGATTTTCGGGACGGCCATAATCTTATCTCCCTACTAGAAGCTTTATCAGGAGAGAAAATTGTAAGTACAGTATGCAGATCAAGGAAAATGGGATATGCAACGATAAATGACATTAAAAATTGAAGTTGAATTTTTATCTGTAGTCTGTTGAATTCATGTTCAAGTGTACAGTACATAAACAAATTGGCACATAGGACAAGGAATGCTGATAAGTACAGTGTGTCAACTTTGTCATTCACCACTTATTCTTCACATGATGCTCTACTGTACATAAACTAATAATGTCGTTTTTACTCTTATTTATTGTTGATGATGGAAACTAGATGAATAGACCTATTCATTTTTGTGCGTACAGTGAAATACGTGCTTTTTTATTATGACATTATACTTAACAACACCCTTTGACATATTGAAATCGATGCATAAAATATTTTTGGCGTTGTTATCAACATAGTAGAGATATTAGAATTCTGGTTGTAGCTTTCAAACCCATTTTCTGCTTCTTTTTAACGCAAGATTGATTTTTGTATTATTTCACATCTGGAAAAAATAAAGTAATCCCCTTAATTAGGTAGGTTATGCCAGGGAATTTCCCATTACCATGTGACAGCAGCTACATTATGCAAATAGGCTAGGTGTCATTCAGCCGTATCAGCAGAGTATAGAGGGCAGTGTTCACTAATTTCACTTACTGAGAAAATAGAAGAAAAACATGTAGGCACCTATTGGAAAATACGTTTTGAAATCTAAATAATATAAAAACAGGTTTTAATGAAGTATGCTACTTTACTGTATTTATTCAATTAAACATTTATTGCTTGAAAGGGTTTTGAGGGGGAATTTTTGAGGAAGGCCTGCATTTTTTTTTAGTGTAAAATGGTACCTATACTCAAACACCCACAAATTTCTCTGTAAATGTGGAACTAACTGTCAAAGTGTTAATGCGATTAATTAATCCCAACCAGGTTAGAAAAAAATGCAATTCTACTAGAGTACAACTTTAATAAAATTTGTTGAGAATGATGTTGCTTCCAGGGCGTTTGATTGAGGGAAGTGTTTATTCCAAATCAGGCTCTTTTTTTAAATATTAAATACTTACTTCTTCTCAATTAAATAAACATGAGCATTATCAAATTAATTGAACTGTTTGCATGGCATCATTGCTTTCTATGTAAGACCACACATTAGGATCTCGAGTGAATGTTTAAAAGTGCCCTCCTTTTGTTAGCATGTATAAAATTTAATTTTTTTTACGGTAGAAATATATCCTAAATACGGTTTTATTGTCATTATGGGAATACAAAATTTATTCATATGTTTTCCCACTTGCTTCTAAAGATCCTTAAATAATGAAGTTTTAGGGTATAAAAATGTATTGCCTTATTTTAGTGAATTAGTGAATATTAACAGAGTGATATTTATCCATCAAATTCTGATAAATTTACGATTCTTTTCATCAACAGCCTCGTGAGCGTGGAAGACTACGTGTCCATCGCCTGCAGAATGTTGGGAATGCGCTCAAGTTTCTGCAACAAAAGAAGGTAAAAGCAAATAATTATTCAAATCAAAATTCAAATTATTCAAGGTGTTTAATCATAATTGATATTGTAATGATTATTATGTAGCCTTTCATCCTGTACTGTATTGCTATTCTTTTTTTGGGAGTATAATCAGTTGAATATAATCAAGTACATGATTATTAGATAAGTTTGGTTATAAACTAAAAAATAAAAAACATTTATTTTTCGTTAATTTCTTACATTTGATAGGTTATGTTAGTCAACATCAGGAGTGATGAAATCGTCAATGGCAACCCGAAGCTTACGCTAGGCCTTGTGTGGACTATCATCCTACATTTTCAGGTAAGCGTACTCCTAAGAAACCTTGCTAATGTTATGTAAAATGAACGAACCCTTTGTTGCTGGTGTTTCTGTTCTTTTTTTTCTTATGATGTCAACCTTTAGTAGTTTTTGAAGCTTTGGTAATTCTGAGATTATTATAAGTGAGCTTTCAATTTGCAACGACTTACAATGTAGACTTACAATGTAGAACGAATGACGTCATGTTCATCTGCACATGTCTAAGCATTCAATTCTCTCCTGAAATCTGGAATGGTCGTTGGCCGAAACGATTGACTTGGTAAATGTACGTCAGTCTTTCATCACACGTCCGCATACACATCATCGAGTATCAAAATGGAATTACAATAGAATATAAAACGCATGTGCTGCCAGCTTTAAGTACTCAATAATAGCCTGGAATTATTTGTACCAAATACTGAGAGTGTGTGGAGGATCTGCAATGTTTCTATTTGTTCATGATTTTCTTCATTCTTCATGAAACAGGTTAAACTAGTAAATTATGGAAAAAGCACCTATAAATAAATAATATGTCGTTCTTATATAGCGCTTCATGCCTTTACAAAGCCTCTAAGCGCCTCACATTACTACCCCGGGTCATTGGATCAAACACATGGAACACATTGAACACCAAATTAAATTATTAAATTAAATTATATTATTATAATCCATGAGCTACAATAGATACAACTTTATTGTTTTTACTATCAAATTCCATTTAATTATTAAGCAATATTTGAAATACCTTATAGCATCTAGGGCAGACCTTGAGTGAGTTTAGACCTTTTTGTATATAATTTTGAGTTCTTTTGCTCCTTTATTTATAGCCTAGAAAATAAAGCATCTGTCTGTTTTCTTTGTGTCTTTGTTTCATTGATATTTACGACTTGGTTTGTCTATGTGGACATTGCATTCATATCAGAAATTCCATCTACAGTATCTGATATTTGATCAGTGTGGAGCAAACACAGTGATGATGTCACTGGCCTTATGTAACATTCTCTTAGTCCACCAATAGCTTATTTATATGTTGATATTTCTCAAAAAACATCAATAATATTTCTTAAAATAAAAAATATTCAACTAAAGATATATAATTGGTACTTCCGTAGTTTGAATCGATGCCCACAGCACTGGTTAATGAAAAGAGGGCGTGCCAATGCACATGGTTGACAGAAAGTCTTTAGTTCATTGGCAGGTTATGTTTACTCAAATTTAAACAGTTTTAAGTAATTAAGTTTTTTAATTATTAAATTTCTAGTAAAATGAATTAGATATTATATTATTTTTTACGGACAGAAGCTTAATAGTTTTGGATCTATCTAGTTGCTAGCCTTTAATAGCCTGTCATGTCAGTGGCAGATGGTTGTCATACTGTGCTTACAAAGTTTGTAATGTCAATACTATAAGCTTGTTATGATAATATCAAATAGGCATGTCGAAAACTTCATCGCTAGGCCCTTTTATCTGGACATCTAACAGAAGATGATAGGGCTTTCCTAGCGCGGACAAGCTGCCCATGACTCTGTGATACGGTTGTAATCGCCAGGCCTAGGCTAAAATATTAATTAGAAATATGGTTTGAGTCTATTCATTTCTTGAAGGTGAATTCTAAGCTGGTTGACAGTAGTCTGCTTAAGATGGATAATCCATGGTCTGTCGATTTACGGATTGATGTAAGTTGGCTTTAAGTTAATAAGGAAATTGAAACAATGGAATATTGATTTTAATTATTGATAAGTCATGGTGATTTTATAATATGGAAGATTGATTTTAATTATTGATAACACATGGTAATTTATTAATATTGGAGGTTTGATTTTGGTTTATCTCAACCTTATTTCTTTCTTCATTAATTGGTACGGTTTTGCATGTTTTTTTATATAATTGTATTTTTTTTTCTCAATGGTTTTAAAATTTTAAAATGTTTGTTAGATATTTCTAGGGAATATTTTTATTTAAATATACTTTTTTTAAAATGTGAATTTCTCTTTGTGGTAAATTTTGCTTTTTAATTTGTGAAAAATGGTGGATAAAATTTTATATTTAACAATTTTTTTATAGTGTAACAGTATTTCGACCTAGGACCCTTTGATTGGAAGACAACACCAAGCTATTCAAATCCAATCTTCCTAATTAACTGCTTTGATCTTAACAAATGTAATCAGTTTTGATTTAATGAAAATCATTGGCTACAGATTGTTTTTGACTGGTTGCTAGGTACCTGTGTAATGACCTAATTAATGCTCTTGGCAATTCATTTCAGGCAAACTTAGTACTTTGTTAGAAAATGATATGATTACTAATAACTTAATTGTTTGCCTCATAATTTGCTTAGTTCTTATCATTCTCATAACTGATGGTAGTTATGAGAATGATGGTAGTTATCATTCTCATAACTACCATCAGTGTCCTCTTCATTATTTTATTCATTAATTTTCATAGTCATCATTACCGTGGTCATAGATATCACATTGATGATGATCATACTTTTTCACATTATCATCATTACCTTCATCCTCATTATACAAAATACAAGGTAAATATATTCATTTTCATCATTCCAGTCATCCATCAAACCATTTTTATTCCAGCGGTAGAGATACATTATGCAACAAAGTGGATTTTACTCTGGTCCTACCAAATGAAAGAGCTGTTTGTTGATTGGTTGATTTAGACTGTGGAGTAATTTGTTTTGACCCTTGGTATTCGCTCTTTAGTCAGTGTAATGGTTTGTAACTGACAGCTATTGCTCCCCAAATGGTTGTAGAACTGTTACGGAAAGCAGTAAAGAGCAGTAATAATGTCAATCATTAAAGAAAGATGGGCACAAAGACCTCCTCTGTACTTAGCTTGATAAAGATGTCAATCAATTAAGAAAGATGGACATAAAGACCCCTCTATTACATACATGTGTAAAATATATCAATTAAGCGAAATATATTTATACCTTGTTTTGTAATCTGTCACCCGCTGATAATTATGATTTTAAATAAACATAACTTTTTATGGTCCATTAGTTCCCCCTTTTGCTTTGGAAAAATGGAAATTCAGAAAACGTAATAATTTATATTCGTTAATAATTCTGAGAATCATTTTTTATTTTAAATTTGATTATATGTATTGATAACTCATTGAATTTTTTAGTATGGAAAATTTGTTTTCTATTTCAATCATGCCCATCCCTTACTAGTACTATATATTCCCTTCCCAACCAATTGGTTGATTGGCAACCAGTTAGTGCATGCTTTCATATAATGACTGCACTGATCTTTAAAATTGTATTAGCTTGTCTTTAACAATGGTTGATAAAGGTATTTCTAAATATATTAATTGGTGATTTTTTTAAAATATTTTATCTTATATTTTCCTTCTGGTAAATTTGACTTTTTTAGAAGATTCATGAAGAACAAATGACCTACAATTGCTTCCTTTCCTCACATCTTTGCTCTTTTAATATGCAATTATATCTTCAACCTGAGTAAATTGTAATTTTCTTCACTGTAATAACAAGGCATCTCCTTACATCCATACATGAAGAATTGAAAGGTAAAGTTATGCTCCTGTGCACATGAAATGTGCAAGTGCTCTTGATATTTTTATTTTAATTTGTTTATTTTATTTTCGGCAATCCATTGGAAACAGGAACAAATAGAAAACTCAAAATAGAACTCTTTTACCTTTTTTTTTTTTTTTTTTTTTTTTGCTTTTTGCTTTTTTTTTTTTTTTTTGCATTATGGCTTTTGGTAATTTTGAGGTGATAGTGCAAAGGGCAAATCCCATAGGGATGGATGTGTGTGCTGTTTAAATAATCAATTGATTGACTGATTGGTTGACAATTTCTGTTACAGAATTAACATCAACATTACATTTGTCAATGTTTTGCTATTAAATATTTTTCAGCTTAAAATATAAACCTTTTAATGGCTGCACCCATTTGCAAATCTGAAAATGCTTATGCGTAATAATTTGTCATACCTGTACATTATGCATGGCAGAACATAACATATTTATTCCATAGGCCTAGATTGATAGTACAAGCTCATGAAAAAACTATGAAATGTATATAGAATTGAAATATGGTAATGTGACATAAAATGAATATGTAAAATTATTGAGAGAAACAATATATTTATTTAGAAAAACTAACAATGAATATAATAAAAAATTAACCATTTAAATTACTGTAGGCTTGCAGACTCGATCACCAATATGCTGTTACAGTAGCACCTCTTTATTGATATTTTGACTTCTGGGAAATATGTGATAAACCCTTTCTAACGCCATGTGTAACTTATGTTAATGAAGTGCTGTGAAGCGTTACAGACTTGAAAACCACATAATACGGGTATTTGTGCAACTGAACTAAAATATTGCATAGAGAATGTATCGTATTAAATATTAATGTCATTGATATTTTGAATTCTGGGAAGTATGCAATTTACATACTTTCAGGCCATGTGTATTTTATATTAATGAGGTACAGTCAAGCATATCACCTTCTAAACCACATACTTCATTAAGCCAAACCATTTAATATAATAAATATGACATCAGACTGCACTGCTAACAAATCATTCGAGCTTCATATCATTGTGCGAGTAAACTCAGCCTTCATGTTTTTCTGCGAGAGGGATAATGAAAAATCAATAAGATTCCTTTGCTGAGGTGATACAGTGAGAAGCATCATTAACTAAACATGCTGCACTCAGTCCAGTGGACAGGCTAGGATTCATCAGGCTATAGCACAGTGCACAGACTGATCAAAACAGACCAATATACTGCAGTGCAAGCTCTTGGTTGTGGGCAATTATTTTTCATATCTCATTGACAAGCCCCTTGCTGTCACTAGGCCTGTTTGTGCCATTTTTCAACTTCAGTCGACAGGCCTAGGCCGGATGCTCGGAACATGAAGCTGTATAATTCATGCTTACATAGACTTCGGACTGCTGCAACTTTGAATCTACATTGATCATTCTACTGTGGGGAAAAATTGATAACGTTTAATTGTGGATTATCTCTCATCTGGTGATTAAAGATATACTAACATTTTTGATATCGGAAAAGATTTTGCCACATTTCATTGTTTTTTTTTTATGGATATTAACCTTTGGTTGAAGTATAAACATAGCTATAAGGAAATTCTTATGTCTGTTAATCTTATATTTGATTTATTTTTGGAGAAGCCTGATAGTTATTTTATAAACAATTGATACCATGTCTGTTTTGAAGGTAATAGCATTGTAAATCTGAAAGTATTGAGTCATCTGCATGGGATATTTTCATTTATCTGGAATTAAGCTATACTGAAATCAATGTGATGTTTAGAAGGCCACTCTTACAGATTGTCATCAAAGAGTAGATGCGAGGATGAATCTCTGAAGATGATTTTTTTAATCATTTAAAAAATTACACTTTGAGATTTAAATCTTAAAGACATTTTGTTCAAGTTGTTTACATTCAAACAGTATTTTAGCTGATATATGTTCTACATTTTAGTTGAATTTCATCAGACGATTTGGTTGCCGTACATTGTTGCTTCCACCATAATACAAGGGAGCACTTCTCTCTCGTGACACTGAACGCAGTACTAGTTCCTTGATTTTATTATACATTCCGTCTTTGATTTACAAACTATTTGATAACAAAATATTTGGTTATTTGTAGCTGTGTATGTAACAATTTGATTCCAACATTGGCAAAAATTAACCAGGCTAGAGGAATACGATAAATGAGATAGGAGTGTTAAATGAATCTGTGAGGTTGATATGGATCACTTGGTCGAGAATTTGGCTTTTTTTAACGTGAGGGGATAATGTTCACAGTGTTTATTCATTGCTCCAAGAAGTCGGCTGATGTATGTCATGTTAGAGTGTGGATTTCACGGTTGAGTAATTACAGTACTATGTGGAATTTTATTACTATTGTATGATACCTGAAGATTGGCTTTTTTGCTTATAGCAAACGATTTAATGTCACCAAAGCGACACTTCTTTGTAAATAATTAATTAGATATTGTGAAGAAAACAAGTTCACTGTTGTTTGTTCCATTTCTTCAATTTATTATCAGTGAAGAAGTGCAAAGAAATTGTTCTTGGATTAATTAAAAAATATGCTTTGATAACATAAAACTATGTTATCATAACAGTCATTATGTTTTATACTCATGTTAATTTAATTGTGAAGACATGCAGAGAAATATATTCCTGTACTGATACATGAAGTTTACAGAATATAACGTTTAGAGATTGTGTCCGGAGTACACTATACATTTTGTATTATATCCAACGTAAAAATCGTTATGGGTAATCAAAGCAGTAAGCTCAAATGCTGTAGTGGTACAACAAGCTCCAGAGAGGATCTCTACGCGCCTGTTTCTGTTGCGTCACTAAATGTTATAGATGAAGCACGCCCTCTAAAAAGGCGCAAGAAGCATAGGAAAGTTGATTCACCACTAATTCTTCATGATGAGGCTCGGTTAAGCAGCAGAAGCTCAGATGCGAGTGATCGCCAGAGTCAATGTAGTTCAGATGCTCAGGTAAAACTCACTTGTTAGCTTGTCACTATGTGTACATTTTAAAAAGGATTTATTATATAAAAACATTTATACCAGTTGATTTCTCCCCCTCCCCTTCCCATGTACAGTATGTCTAGCCTATTTGGGTGCATGCCATCATATAGTCACTCCAGACAGCATAATTAGTTATAGAAATTTTACTACTGTCTCTTAGGTATTAATTTTCCTATTTACATTCTTTAGACTTTTTATGTTCAGTGATGCAGTTTCATTTCTCACCTGCTTACCTGTTTAACATAGATAATAATATTCATATTCGTCATATTATGAAATATTGTGCAAAATAAAGTGGCTACCAATAAAACAGCTAAAAATAGGCCAAAACAGCTATCAAATTTTTATATTGGTATTGAGAATTGAGATACAAGAAAAAAAATTAATGCATGTGTATTGAATGAATACAACTGATTGTGACAATGATAAACCTCAATGATATATTATCATTGAGTGCAGCTGCGTTGCTAAGCATTTCGCTGTTTATTGATCCCATGCAATGAGTGATTTCAATGATTATGTTCAAAATAAGAAATGAACTCCCAACTTTCCATCTGCTGTCTGCTGTTTTAAAATCTACGACAAATAATTAACAGCTCAAGCCCACTGCATTCCAAGCACTGAGTAAGGGGAATACACTGGAGGCTACAGTATATTGCATTGTTTTAGATACTTTTGATTTGAAATTGTCTATGGATTTTAAGATCATAAGTTGCTCATTCCAACACGTAAGATATTTCTTTTGTTTTCTTGAAGGTTGTTCCTTGATTTTATTAACCAAAATTGTCTCAATGAGATTACGTTTGTTGGTAGTTTTTACTCGCTTTATGTGTTTTAAGAATGCACATTTTTTTTTTAGGTGGTTGCCTTTGTAATTTTTTGTCTCTCCATGGCAGTATACAAAGTATTTTTTGTATCTTTAATTAATATCATTACAAAATCATCACTGTTTTTGGTTCTATGATCACTTTCGGCATTTTTAGGTCATTGGTTGGTATATTTACATCTACAGTAAGACATCCATTATCAGATGGTTCCAAGGGGTATTCGTAAATTGAAAAATGTGTAAATCAGGTCAGGTGTCAGTTCCACTAGGCCTAGCTATCCTCCACCATTGAGCGCCAATAGGCTGATGGTGGCCAGGCCTAACACAAACTGATAGTGCAGTAGACTGGTATACCACGCTAGACTAACTAAATTTACATTTACATGCATTCGCGATTATGTAGCTTCAAAGTTGTTGACCCCAACACATTCTTTTATTCGTCATGAAAACATGTTTGCTCATTTCGACGACATTTGAAAAATGGACATTTTACTGTGTTCATTTAAAAATTTGTATCTTATTTTTTTTTCTCTGATATTATACCATTTTCAATACGTTAATTCCTTAATTTCCATTTCCTTTTGGCTTCAAATTTACACAAAATATCATTGAAAATGCCCTATAGGACTATTAAAATCTGAAATACTGTATATCAGAGTAAGTTTAAATAAGTATATGAATTATAACAAATAAAAATATATTCTAATACAAAATTGAATCTTAATTCAAATTTAATACAAATATTGTTAAGCTCCCTACTTATAGAGAAATGTAAACAACAGTATTATTTACAGTTTTTGTTATTGCTTCAATGAACATTACTCTATGACTTTTGGAACTATTAAGAATATTTAATGTGTTTACAAGTGATCACTTCCTTTCATTTAATCTCCTAATGATGCCTCCTTGATTTCAGTTGCTATGCTACACCTGCTAGACTCCCTGCAGAGTGTGTCGTGACATCTTCCCATACTCCCTGCAGTGTACTGTTAATGACACATTGCATTTTCGTATACCTTGAGTGAGCAGTATGCACTGAATTATAATATTATTATGATACCATGCTGATGTCGTGGAAGGGTTTGCATAATCTTGGGTTTGATGTAGCCATTTATTCTCTCCAATTCATTTCATGTTTAAATCTTGTTTTATTTAGGCTCATTTCATAAAGCAAAAATAAACATCCTTTTCTAATGTGGTTTTCCAAAATATTTGAATAAGGCATTTATTTATTTTGTATTATATTTGTTCATTATTATTGATGACATACAGTTGAGGACCCTGTCCTTCGACATGGTCGGGTAGACACAAATACATTGTTTTGATCTGTCATAATAGATGAGATGAGTGGTCTCATTAATTAACACTGATTGTATATAATATGAATGGGCAACTTTATGATAAATATTAAATTGAATTATGGTATGGTGGTTGACAATTTGGTTATGGTGTGGTAGATTAGTGGCTAATAAATTAGGACATTATTTAAATGTTTGAATATTATTGTAAATTTCTCTCGGCAATAATACATTTTGAGAAACATTATTTAATATAGAAAGATTTTTGTTGTTGATTCTATAGATCTCTGACATTGTTGTTGAGAGCCATGTGGGTGAACAAGTCCAGGCTAAGGATGGCCTAATGTTTTGGGCAAAGTGTGTGACCGAAGGCTATCCTGGAGTAACTATCAATAACTTCGGTCAAAGTTGGCGCGATGGCTTAGCATTTAATGCTGTCCTTCACAGAAACAGGTAAAATATTATTGTTTTTAGCTGTTCACAAATTATGCTTGTTTTAATGCTACTTATTTAAGCCTGTGGACACATGGTACACTTATTTATCAAAATTTACTATTTGGAATCCTTAGCTTAAAACTACTCTACTTGGCAAAGAAAATATATATAATATTTTATTACTAATAGTACAAATTCAACAGTCTATGGAAGGAACCGCTGCAGCATAAATACATGACTGAAAAAGAAACTTTAATAAAAATGATATTCTTAATTACATAAATTACTTTTGTTCTACAGACCTGATCTTATAGACTTTAAAAGCCTAAATCCAAGAAATCATCGAGGTAATCTGGAAAATGCCTTTTCAGTTGCCGAGACTGTTGGTGTACCCCGCTTGCTTGATCCTGAAGGTTTGTTAAAAATATGTAATAAGATATTAATATAAATTAAAATTAATTAATTTAGTTTTAGTATTTAGAATCCTATATTGCAATGTCCATAAAATGAAGCTGCCAAGGTGCATTATTAGTAATGCAGTTACAATGTTCCATAATTGTTTCTGCTAACCCAACAATAAATTATTCATTCTATTAGTCAGCATATTAAAACATTCTATTCCCAGGATCCTAGGAAATTTATTATTCCACAACTAAAACAATTTCACTGCCTTAGCTGCATAATGATACTTTGTACTTCAGAGAGCATAATCTATATTTATAAATGCACAATAATTTATCAGGGTGGACTTCCCTGAGGTCCTGGAAAATTGCATATACCGTCAGTAGTCACATAATTATATATGGTCACATGATAAACTTAATTCTCTCCTGGTAGTGAATACGGTATAAGATGTTTGATACCTAAAAGGAATAAAAATTGAAAATAAATACAATATTTGAATCCACCCTTTAAGGTTATCATTGAAGACATTTAATATTAAATCATCTAGAAATAATCATTTATTTAGTTGAATAACTGATTAATTATTGGTGGATAGAAATGAATTGAGTAATTGGCTGATTTATTAATCAATCCCTCTCTTCCTCTCTCTTCCTCTCTTCCTGCTTTCATCTCATTTCCTTTCTCTGTTAATAACGACAGTCAATTAACAATTAAAATCTTCTTTAATTTCTGTTTCATTTGAATCATTTCCAGATGTGGATGTTGCCAGTCCAGATGAAAAGTCCATCTTGATGTATGTATCCTCGCTCTATGATGTCTTCCCAAAAGTCCCCCCACCCCCAGTCCAGCAGGCTACGGTCACCACGCACACATCCTCAGAACAACATTCTTCGGCAACAGTTACTGTGAGTACAATTAAGTATACCTTTAAAGTAATAGTTAACAAACAATCAATATCAAAATTAAAAATGTTCAGTACATGGTTTTATATTGTTGCTCATACCACAAACTACACAAAGAAAGTAGTGTTAGTTTGTGAAAATCATAAATATAATTTTTCAGTACACATATTTGTTGCCAAGGACTTTTGTAATATTTACACCACACAAAAAGTCCTAAACAACAATCGTGCACACTTGAATATGTTTGTTGATATCAGGAACTCACACAAAATGGTTGTGTTAGTTTATAGGTGTGAGAGACGACATTCATCAAAATGTCAGTGACATTCATTGGCGACATTTTATTTTGATTGAACTTCATACTTTCCTTACATGTGTGTTTTAGTGCCCACAAAGCTACTGAAAAGAAGCTATTTCAGTATCTGTCAAACAAGCTATGTGTCTAAATGAAGTCTGATAAACTGTTTTTGTCATTTTTATATCTGACAGACAAGATTCTGATTATCCACTATAGAAAAATAATGTGTTTTTATTATCCACATTCAGGCAACTGGGCCAGTATGGGAAGCCTACCAACAAGAAGCTAGGACCCTCATGGACTGGATTCAAAAGACTACAATGAAAATGGATGACAGAAGCTTTGATCAACATGCTGATATCAAGGTAAACAAGATACACCCACAAACCTCATAAGCTCTGCCACAGGCAGTCCCAAACTATCGTACTCATGCTCACATTTGTTCCAGTGATCAGCATTATGCATCTACATGTAAATGAACCTTTGCACTTCATTGCAATGTTTTAAGCTTTTTAATTTTCCCTGTGCTGTTAATTTTAAAACAACTGCTCTTCTTTTTTTAACAATTTTTTGATTGAATATAATATACTATATCTGTCTCTTATACACATCTAGATGTGTATAAGAGACAGATTCATTCTATATTAGTCAATCTGGGAGACAATTGATAATACAGCATTAAAAATTGGTAAAAACATGTAAATATTGTGAATTTGTGGGAGATGGGATATTTGTGGGAGATTCTCTGGAGACCCACCATTTCCAGGAAACTTTGGGGTCCTGATGTTAACACATGATTCTGGCTCTTCATGTTTTCATTAAATATTTAATTATAATATTTTTGTACATTTTCAGAAGTTACAATCAGAACTTACACAGCTCCGCTCGCAAGATGTCCCCGCTAAGCTTGCTGAGCTGCGTAAAACTGTTGCTAAGTACCACAAACTGGACACTGAGCTCCATAAGACAGGGCAGATGCGTCCCCCATCTGTCGTGCATGCACGGGAGTTAGAGTCAGCGTGGGAAAAACTTATTACAGCGGAACAACAAAGAGAGACTGCTCTTCAAGTGCTTTTATCAAAGTAATGATTACATTTATTTATTAAATTACTACATTATTAAAAATTAATTGGCAAGACTTGGGCTGAAACACTGACCAGTTACTTATTAGACAAAAGGATGCACAAGGGATACTGATGATCATTAATGTTAATCTTTTAATAAATAAAATTGTTTTATTAAAGATATGACTGGTCAGGAAAAACTATTACACCTCATTAAACCAATGATATAGCTCATATTTATAAAATATAAGTCACACCCAATTTAATTGTAAAAATAATAACAGTACTTATGAGTACATTTATTGGCAAGGAAAATATTTTCTTATAATTTTCAATTGAATACCTTAAATGGGGTAAATTTTCAAAATATTAATATATATGTATATTACATGTGCTGAATATTATTGTTTTAGAGTGAATAATAACTCTTTATTATGTGTGTGTAGTAATAAAGAATTTGATTTAAATATATAAGATACAAAATATGCTATTTAAGTCTATTATCTCAATATAGGCAATATACACACAAGTGTTATGTGTAGCAACATTATAATTTTCTAACCTGTTTTCATGATTGTACCCATTAGTATCACATGGTCAATGACTTTGTATGTTTTTTGTTTTGCAGGAGTCGCCATTTATCTGAACTTGGCCAGAAGATCTCGGACCAAATTCAGACTGTGAACTCTGATCTTGACAGCGTTGATACTCAAATTAAAGAAGTTAAGGGCAATTCCGGAAGAATGACTGCTGCTGATATCAAGAACAACATTGATGTGATCGAAGGAAATCTAATGGTAAATCCCATAATTTCACTCTCTGTAACATCCTGTAATAAGACTAATTTACCTACGATTCTAGTGGCTAGCGATTTTAATCAGAGGTACTCAGAATTAATAGTGGGGAGCTTTTTATTTGCGTGATGATGGTATGCTAGAACGAATTCACTTATGCATGACCGTCTTCTGCCCAACATAGATTTGGCCAAATTATTTCATGGAATCCACGTGACAATGAGAACTTAATGTTCTTACATGTGCAGATGACTTCTGAGTGATGTCACTGTCGTATTGCAATTGATTATTTATTCATGGTTGACATATTAAAGTATGACAAGTTCTCTTTGATTGTGACATACAATCATAATAAATTCATTAATGAGAAGGCAATGTATACTGCTATTATTTTATTTTTATTTTACATATATAATTGTTATTGTTCTGCATTGGAAACAAATGTTACCTTTCAGAACACATGGAGACATTTTTACAGTATTTTCTTTAGCCTGTTAATGTTACCAGATTTAATTTTTATAAGTGTTGAAATGCACGCCATCGTGTTGGGATTCAATATTTTGACATTATTTATGTCATCTGTTGGGATTCAATATTTCGACATTAATTATGTCATCATTTTTGATGATGACTTAATTAATGTTTAAATATTGAATCCCAACACGATGGCATGCATTTCAGTACTTGGAGTATGTATTATACTTTCTTATCTGAGATTAGTCAGTGGACCTTTCGGTTTTCCTAATTATTATGATCTCCTTTCTTGCAGACCTGTAAAAATAACATCCGTACTCTATTTAGCAATGTGCAGCAACTGAAGGAGGGTCAATATGAGGGATGGAAAGATCTCTTGAAACGGTAAGCACTTTATGAGAAAAAGAAAAACATCATCGAAATAGCATTGCAGTACCTTTTGCTACTTGGGGATCGGCTTTATCATTCGCCCCCAAGCACAAGCTCAGTGGTTGCGTGGTTAAGACACTAGGCTAGTTATCTGGAGGTCGTATGTTCGATTCTCTCTGGAATAATGTGCAAGGTTTTTTTTTTTTCGCAAACATTTGGAAACATACTATGCTTAAGTACTATTACACGTCACTTAGGGCAAACATGTATTACAGAGAGGTTGACAAGTTTAAGTCTGGATTACAATGTTTATCATGATCATGAATCTTTGTTTTTCAAGCATCATATAATTTTGTTTTCCTGCAGAGTTGAAGATCTTGAAAAACGAGTGTCTTCCATCGAAACATACAAGATCACGGGTCAGGCAAATGTTGTGACACAAACAGTAACCATTCAAATTGACCCTAAACTTCTAGCGCCAATCAGTGAGCATATCAACTGGGTCCAGAACAAGTCTGTAAGTATCTGTGATGTATCTTAAATATTTTATACCTTTTTGTTTATTCCCTTTGTTATCAATCCAAACCCTGTAAAAATTTAGGAAAGACATCCACAAAACATGATATGCGCAAAGATGATTTAGCTGGCAGTCCAGCATGAGACAATTTAGTGTAAAACAATATTAATCCAGCTTGACTTTACTAACTTTTGTAAAATTTTGAGAATATAGCTTTAACTTCTTTTTAAAAGATATCTATCATTTTATTTTTTAAAAATCAGCTAAGACCTATTGTTTTGTTTCAGTCTATGGCTTATTGTATGTTGGTAACTGTTTAATACTATTCAATGTTTTAATTAATTTTAAAACAATTTTCCACAATATTATCGCTGTTTATCTTCAGATGGGAACAAAATATTCCATTTCATAATGAGGGCATGTATGAAATTTATTCATTGTTATTTTAATATATCATTTCTAAATTTCATTACATTACCAGGCTGAAATTTCAAAAACATCTTATGGAACAGACTTAACAAGTATTCAGAATGCGCTATCCAAGGCACGCTTTGATGAGAAAGCAATAAAAGCCTACAAAAGCAACGTTGATCGTTGTCGGCATAATTGCAACATGTTAAAGGGTGCCGAACGTGAGCATTACTCTGAGCTTGTGGTAAAACTTGAGGAAGCTTTCAAACAGCTGGTTGATATTGCCAATAAACGCTGCCGTGATGCTGAAGTGCTTCAGCAATTCGTCGAGGATGCAACAGAAGAATTGATGTGGTTGGATGGGAAAGAAGATCAAGAGGCAGCTCGCGATTGGAGCGCAAAGAATTTGGATGTAGAAGAACTAGAGAAACACCACATGGTAAGTGATGTATGAGAAATATGATAGTAAGCCATTTTTATTTTTTATTTCAATGATATTTTAAAGAGGGTAACACTTTCAGCTTCCTCCAAGAAACGCTGATATTCAAGGGCCCTATTTAATAAAAAAATAAAATATATGTATAACAAATTTCTTTTTCATTATGATAGAATTTCCAATTCTATTATTTCCTACTAATTTGTTAATTATAAAATAATCTTTATGTAATGATTGTGATCTATCCGTGATCTATCAATTTTTTTGGTGGGGGGGATGAGTAGGAAATGGAGATGCTTTGTGTGAGGCTTGATTAGACGAAGGTGAATAGAAAATAACTTCTTTTTTTTAAATTATCGTAAAGATATAAGTTTATCTGTTAAATTTTAGAGTCTCCTCCGTGAGATTGAAACTAGAGAAAAACCATTTAATGCCATTCTTGAAAGAGGTCAGAAGTATGTTTTGAATCATCATCCTGGATCCGAAACGATGAGGGTAAGACTTCTATTTTTATATATATATATATATTTATCTTAATTTGCCATTTAATATCTACTATAGGGTGTAAATAAATGTTGTTGAACATGAAGTGAAATTTTGTATTCAAAGTTGTTGTAACACCCAACCCTGCCTGTGTCATCAACTGTCATATAGTAAAATGTAGTTTTTGTATATTATTAAGTCCTATTAATTTTGTTTCCCAGAAGTTCACAAAAAAGAACTATTTCAATAAGTGACTAAGTTTAAATATTTTTAATGTTTGTCTCACATACTTTTAGCTCTTAATTGTTCTTGTTAAGATGATTACAAACAGCAGTCCATGACATGATTTTTGCTATCAAATAAAACAGGTCTATGAATTCCAAGTTTAAAAGACTCATTTAGTTCCCCCCGATTTAAAGATGGAAGAACAATAAGATATTTTCTATTTTTCTCTTTCTAGGCCTACATGACAACGATGCAGTCTCAATGGTCATGGTTGATTCAGCTGTCAGCCTCCATGGAAACACAGCTGAAATATGCTGCTGAATACCATCAGGTAACCCTAGGCCTAGCCCTCAGAATTCGCATATGTTTTGCCCATAATACCTGCGGAAAAACAACACTATTATATTCAGATATATACATATTGATACTTTAAAAATCTATTTGGTTTATTTTTAAAGGAAACCATAAATTATATTTCAAATGTAATACTTACATATGCTGTAATCAATCAAATAACCAACCAACCAATCATGCAGTCCACCAATCAATCAATATCAATACCATCTATTATAAACATAAATATATGTCTGCATGTGGAAGATTTATTGAAATGTACAGAATTATTTTCTATTGTTTCTTGGAATGAGCACATTATAGGCAATATATTTATTGAAAGAAAAAAATAAGTAATATTTTTTTGATAAGCAGATTGAAAATGTGTATTTTATTTTTTATTACACTTTTGCTTGATTTATACTGCAAATCAAATTTTAACATTTATTTTACAATTAAAGCATATTAATTGCCTGTTAATGTGTCATGCATTTAATAAACTAACTGATAATTTACATGTTTATACCATTATGTTAATTTATGTTGATACAACTGTATCTTGTTGCATTGTGCATTTTGGAATTGCTACGTTCTGCCATGTGGCTAATTTGCATAATGTATGTTATAAATATTTGCAGTTAAACATTATAATCAATTAGAAAGCTTTTATAAAGCTAATACATAATTTGCATGTATGCATGTGGCCATATTGTTTGCATCTACCATTTTTCATATTAAGATGATAATCCAAGTTTGCTTTTTATCTTTTTTGTTATCCAAGTGTTCAATCATATTTTGCAAAGTTGCTGTAAAACAAAATACAAAAATATATTTACAGTGTTACAGATATTTTACAAACTCATATCCATAACCATAATTACAAGATGAAAAAGCAGAGATCACATCACTTCAAAACTAAAGGACCATGTAAATCTGCTTATTAAGTTTTACATCATCATCTTTCTCTTTTCTGTTTAATTGCCCAATTTCCAGGGTGCCTGGGTTGGCACATTACATTATAATTTTATCATGATCTACTGTATAGACTAATAGGTATCTCTATTATGTATCCTTCGGTGTTTATACATCTATTAAACCAGTCAATATTGTTATTAATATCTTTCAAACAAATCAGTTTTTATCAATATTTATCAAACCAATCAATGCTTATCAATATCTATCAAATCAGTCAATTATCATCTACCAGATCAATCAGTAGTTATCAATATATATCACAATATTTATCATTTCCATGTTTATTAAATTATTTTTAAACATACATTTTATCATAGATTGAATATGTTTAAATGTTGGTCAAAACAAATCAATGTTTATTAATATTGATTCATTACTTATTGCTTATCAATTACATCTTATAATCATATTGAAAATAATACAGATGTTCTCAGATTCTAAAATCTGATTGACTACATAATTTTTGGTTGTTCATACTTATACAAATTCATCACTCATCATGATTCTAGACATGTTATCTTTTGGTGGGTTGTGGTATCAGTGTGTCTTCAATGTTTTGTGAACCTTTGGTGATTTGTCTGTTGGTATCTGTCTTCTTTGTACTAGCATGTTTTACACTCAACAATTTATTGGAGGCATTCTTCCAAAAGTAGCCTAATGGGAAAAAAAAGATTTATATTCACTGGTGAAGGAGCTAAATACACAGTATGTATCTGTTGATACAAAGAGAATGGCAGAAACACCGCAGTTTTTAGACAAAATTAAAGCTGCTCAATATTTTTGTGCATTTTCAGAAGGTTTATAAAAAAGATGTTCGATTTTAGAACATCTGAAATGTGGTTTATTGACAGTGGGTAATGTTCGTTGACCCCACTCGCGTTTAGCATCCATCTTCATACGCGATACATCCATTGATCACTCTAAACCGCGGTTATCCCCTTTCTGCACATATCTTAGTCCCCTCAAGATTTATTCAACAACACTTTGGTAAGTTGCCAATTTTTTTTCATTTTATCCATTTATTATTGTTTGGTTATTTAGTTTATTTTTCATAACTGTCATAGCTATCTATGTATAGTGCCATTATTATTCAATGTATTTTCTACTAATTTTTCATATTTCATGCTAATATCTCTTATAACTATATGTTGTTTGGTTTAACGCATGTTTGTTGATTGATTTCCAATGTGCTACCTTTTTTAGTGTATTCGTTATTGACTAAAAATAAGATATTTTTCTCTCCTTTTCAGTTTTTTAATGATGCGAGAAATTGTGAACAGAGAATGATACAATTTAAGGAGGAATTAAATTCCAGATATAGTCCAGTGGAAGCAACCGTAGAGGAAATAAATCATCTTCTCCTCGAGATGGAGGTAAATGCTTTCTTTAATGGACCATTCCCTTAAGCTACGCCCCTTGGTGATTGTTGCTAAGGTTCCAAAACACTTCAGCTTATAAAGCATGTGCATTTCTGGAGCAACACGTGTTTGAGGGACAATCATGTATTCCTGGATCTGTTGTGATTGGTCAGTTGTTTAGTTAGCTTTAAAGATCAGAAAGGTCCATTCTGTGACGAATCCACTCCCGTGAGCGATATACGACGTAACGCCATCTGCTGATTGTCAGTGGCAGTCTAAATGGATCCTCATTAAAAAAACTATCTGTTGGTTCCGCACCGTCGCATGTGGTCGTCGTTGCGATGCCGTCACGTCACCATCGTAATTTTTTTTAATGATTTTTTTTTTTTTTTTAAGGATATGAAAGACAAGATATTACAACTGAAATCCGTCCTTGAGGATCTCGCTAAGAGTAGCCACGAAGTGGTGCCATTGAAGCAACGTAGACAACCGCTAACTGGGCGCATGACAGTATATGCCATATGCAATTATACTGGCATTGATGTAAGCATATATTATATTGCTAGTATTTCAGGCATATTTTTCCCATTGTAATCTTATTTTAAGATATACTCCATTACAATAATAATGGTATGATTGGATATTATGTTGTAATAAAACATTAGCAACAATAAGTATAATTTTTTACTTTATTTCCTAAACAGATGTCAGTTTCAAGCGGTGAGGAGTGTGTCCTCTTAGACAATTCTGACCGGCTGAAGTGGAGGGTGATAAACACAGTTGGACGTGAGGGCACTGTACCCGGCATTGTATTCATGATTCCGCCTCCTTATGAAGGAGCAATTAGATTAGCCAAAAGGTAAGAAATTAAGGCAGAGGAGAAATAGGAGATGCCAGTGAATGAGAAGCCTAGATAATTCAGGAGAATGTATCATTTTTTGGCTGATACCTTTTTTTTTCTGTCAGACATGGTGGTTACACATTACATATAATAATGGGAATGTTTTATGAAGTTAAAATGACACAGCAGTTATAACAACATTAAGCATCTGATCACTGTAGGTTTAATAAGAATAAATAAGTACTATTCAGTTCAATTCAATAATTAATTATTATTTTAAATAAAACATTTTGAACATAAGTGTAATTCCATTAATTGGGACCAATCTTAGAACTTGTCTTGATCTCCATGAGAAAAATCTCTGCAATGGAAAGGAAATACAAAATATTATGTTCCATGAACCCCTTAATGTACAATTATAGAGGACCAATAACCAGAGGAAGTCTGGCATTTAACGGAAGGCAAATGAGAAAAAAGATGAATAAAACAGAAAGAGCATAAAGTAACTTTTAACGTTTTATTTTTACCTGTAGACTTGAAGTGCAATTTCAAGAAAGTTTGACATTATGGAGTACTACAAATACTAAGCTGAATCAGCTACTGAAGAGGCAACAAATAATGCAAGATGTAGAAACAGTCAAACATATGACTTTACATGAAGTAAGTGAATATTGCCTTTGTGATCATAGTTACAAGAGCAGACTTTGAGATTATTATCCTCTAGCCCCAGGGGGCTCCGTTTGTCCAGTAAAGACCTGGATTAATATTTCTCATAAAAAATATAAAAACCTGTTGCACTCCAAAGGCCTAGCAAATGTGCAAAAAGAAAAAATAACTGATGAAATATCATAACTCTTCCTTATAAAATATAAGTATGGTAACACTGAAAAAGGACAAATGTGAGGCCATAATGTTCTTTTCAATGGAACATCACATCCAGGAGAAAAAATTAATATATAGGCTGGTGTTGACTTAAAAGTCTTGAAAAATTAATTTTAACAAAACTTTTGCTATCACATTAATTTCTGTATAAACAATTAGAACAACTGTTTATTCACACATTTTTTGTGATAGCATTAACAGTGGCCTGTATTGATCTGAACTTTCTCAGCCATTTATAAGATTTAGTTTATGTGTATTAAATGTGCATGATACATTTAAAATACCACCTCAATTGTTCAGATAGTTTACCCATCAAGTTTTAATTTTGTTTCCCATTGTTTTGACTGCTGATTGGTTAATTGCTGTAATCTGATAATTATGTATGCATGAGTTGTTTTGTATTTTACTTTCTACTTGCTACTTCACTCAGTTTATGAACCAGGAATCAAGCATCAACGAAAGCTTGTGCTCAACACATATTTGTTTTTGTATTAGGTTGTTTACTTTTGTATTTTAGTTGTTATTGTTATCCAACTGCACCACACGAGTTGTGTGTGCCACTGTTCTAAAGGTGAAGTGTCAATTAACAAATAAATAAATAAACATAACTCGCTGACTCTTAAAATTTTATTTTTTGACTATGTCATTCTGAGGGATACCACTTCACTACCCCTGTTATGCCATATTTTTTTTTGTCTTACAGTATGAGAATACCAGTATGCAGCGAAGGGTTGAAATGACGTATGTGATGAATGGCAACACACAGCACCTGAAACATGAAACATCCACAGTCTCTAAAAATGGTGATGCCGGACAAGACTTCATCACGTCAGAGCTTCTGAGAGAAGTTGAGGGCTGCAATTTGTTGATAGATGAAATGGCAGCAAGAACAAATGCACGTAAGAAAAACAATTTATTAAAAAAAACAAAAAAAACAACTACTAATCAATAATGGAGTGGAATTGTATTTTTAGCTTTGTATTCTGCATCCAATCTTAGTTTAAAGAGCGTCATTCAATAGTATTTTGTAATACTGGCAAGTTGGGTAAGAAAGAATATTAATGATCAGTAGTCCTCAAGAAGGACTGATATTTTAATCTAGTTTTATTGCTATTTTTACTGTCTATTAGATAGTGTAATACATACTCCAAGTATCTAAATGCACGCCATCGTGTCGGGATTCAATATTTCGACATTAATTATGTCATAATCAGGAGTCTATTTGTCTGTATTTCGTGTTCTCATTTTATATTTTTCTAATAACAAAATAAATGAAATTAATAATAATAATAATAATAATTTTGGCTTATATAGCACATTATGCATTATTTCATTTGACTCAATCATTTGTGTTTTCACCCTTCAATATTTGCTTTTTCCTTTCTTGGTTCAGAGGACAAACCTAAAGTAGAAGAAACAATCACATCATCTACTGTCACAGTTGAACAGAGCTCAGTCCAATCTATGCACAGGAAAACAGGTAAAGAAATGAATGTTAATTTACCAATTTTCAATCTATGACATCATTGGAACTAATTACAGTAGATTTGTTGTGTTGCCAAACAATGCTGCATGCTTTTAAAGTATATTGTATCTTTTTTTTTAAATGATTGTTTTTTCTTCAATATTTCAACTGCTTATTAATTATAATGTTTGTACTTTTTATTCAAAAGTATGTTTTCCTAACAGTAAAAAGTTTAGTTTTTGTCTGCTTTTAAGAATGTTTTGAAAATTTGATTGATTGTTGCTAATAGTTACACCACCCAGCTTGAATTCTTTTCAATTAAAATTATGACCATACATCCTTCATAATCCTTCCTATCCTTCAATATCACCCTATCATGTTAGAACATTTTATTCAATTTGTTTAATTTTAGCTTATTGAATGTTTAAAAGTTAATTATATTGTAATATTTTTTTGAATAAAATATATTCTCATGTGTAGAAAAACCTTAAATGCATATAATTAAACAACTCTTATGGTATGGCACACTGTCTTGGAAACATGGGTGAATGATAGGTAGTAGTATATGACTGTTGAGCAAAACAGCACATACATGAATACAATTCTGGGGTGATACAAATCAAAATTTATGATTCATACTTAATAATATATCAATTGACAAATTTCAAAATAGTTTTTTGACCTTAAGAATGCATGTCATAGAATAGAACATTTTATATATAGGGCATATTTGATTTCTATTTACCCCACACTTTCCTCCAGTTTTGTTTCAAGTTACACAATCCCATGCATCATCAGAGTCTCCTGATTCTAAATTCAATATTGCTGATAGTATAGCGCACTCCAATGGTTCCCTTGATCTATGTGATCAAGAGGTGCAAGATATTACTGCCCACATCCAGCAAGGTAACACCCCTTCCCATAATAATGGAACATTCAATTGTATTATATTGGGCTATTCTTACTTTACGTTTTGGATTTTAAAAATTATTAATAATTTCTCTTGCATTCTTCTCAATTGTTAATTACTAAATCACCTTCATCTTTTAGTTTATATAATAATTGTTTCCATTTATTTCTTATGTACTTCTTTTATAAAATCATCTTTCAAGCACAATGTGTTATGTCTAAATTTATACATTGAAATATTTTGTCATGAATATTTCTAAATCATTTATATATTTTTTCTTTTTAGAGATTTTGAGCTTTTAAAAGTTTTTTTTTTAAATTTTGGTGGTTGAATGGAAATCAAACATGTAATATATTATAATTATGTCATATTATTTGAGATATTACATTATGAGATCTATAAATTAATATAATAATAAAAAAGAATAAACTTAAACCTAATTATATTCTTACATGTTTGATTTCTACTGCATTATCTAAACTTTAATTTCTCTGTGATTTTTTTACTTTCTGCTTGTCCAGTATAATTGACTAGTTATTCAACCATAACCTCATCTTAATCGATGCACGGTGATTGTCCATTGTAATGTACTGTCTATTTCATAAACAGTTGAATAAACCAACATTTGCTTTTTATTCTTTCTCCAAAACACCATTGAAGACAGTAGAACATTCCATTCCCGGCATACTGTATACCCAGTCTCTTTGTCAGTGCTAGATTCCATATTTAATTTCCGCATTAAGCACATAAAATAAAGACTGGGTTTAGTATAGTTCTATCAAATTCAAGGGGGTGTTCAGGAGTAATAAACATGTGTAAGTTAATGTATGCAGCTACATAATTATCTCATACACCCCTCGCCATCAATTTTCACATGCGTTTCTATGAAGTGAATGTTTTGGACTGTCATGTATTTTGTATTGTGATTATATTGCATGTTTTAGGAGAAGAATTAGACAATTCAAATGTAACCTTTAACCCGGAAGATGTTGATAATGACCTCGAGAATGAGCTTGACAGTCTCAGCAATCTGCTTGATGAAATGTGCTCGGAAGGTATCACATGACTTATAATCCCCATGCATAATTACATCATACATTGTTTACCGCAGTGTATTATGGGTGCAATAGAGCACATTGGGGGCTTAATCATTATATAGTAATAGTGGAGCTATAGTAGTTAAGATGCTTTGCTTACTAACACCAGGGTGTCTGTGCAAATCAAGTAAACACCTTATAATGAGATTGGGAAGTCTCATGAAATTTCCACTTAATGCAATTTAACCAGGACTAGGCCAAGTTTTTTTAATTTGCAAAAACAATAACCAGAAATTAGTTCATCCCCCATATTTCCCAGCATGCATTGTATTAAATGATTTATGATGTAATTACCAATAACTTCGGATTTTATTATGCATTAACATTTCTTTAACTTTCATCATTGGCACCTTTGGAATGTTTTCAATTTTCTCTAGTCTTTTTATCTGGTTACTGAGGTTTACATTGTATTTTTTTCATAATTGAGTTAAAATGGAAAAAATAGTTGTTTTCATAGTCGATATATTAATAATGTTTTCTATAACACCCTATAAACATAAAAAAATATTTTTTAAGATTTGATAATAATGAGAAAAAAACTACATGAGGCTTGCCATTCCAAAACCAACGTACTGTCTCTAAATGTTAAACTAAGTAATTAGCATAAGAATGTGGTAGTATTGTTTACTTTAGTACAGAGAAACCGTAATGCTTTTACTCATAACTTTTGCAATAGTAAGTCGATCCCTGTAAATGACCCATCATTTTAATGCTTACAATGTGGAGAATAATTTTAAAAGTCAATTTTTATTGTTTGGTCACTGATGCTGGTTTTATGATATACAAGCCTGATTTAAAAAAAAAAACCCTGCCATATGTAAATGTTAAAAAAACTTGCTACAGGGTATCATATTCCTCATGTTGTTTTCCTGGCAATTTGAGACTCACTGACACTGTTAAAACATACTTTATTCCTTAACGTTGGTTAAAAGTGTAAACATCCTATGCTTGCCTTTCCAATTTCTCAACTCTCTTATTTTAATTTGTTTTGTAGGTGCTAAGAGGTTAGATCCTTACACCTTGAATGAGGATATTACTAAGTTCTTGAAAAAACTTCAGGAACTTCAAGAGAAATTATCTCAGGAACTACAAACAGTGAAACTTCCAGCAGACCAAGAAACTATGATGGGTATGCAAGACAATGTTACGGTAAGCTTTTAAAATAGAAAAAAATATATTTAAAAAAATGTAATAATAATAGTACACCTTAATAAATATATGAATATATTAATAATATTTTTGATGTGAGTTTGTATCAGGAAAATATCATATGACTGATGTTTGTTGCCTACTTCTTATATTGTACCGCAAAAATCTGTAATTGCTTTGGGTGGGAATCAAACCCATGACCTCCAGATAACTAGCCCGGTGCCATATGATGTAAGGCTGGTGATTTAAATGTAATATATTAATTATAATAATAAAAAGTATATAGTTTACTATTTATATACAAAAATTTTATTTTGTAAAAGTTTTCTTTGCCATTTTTTCAGACATTCCATTCCAACCTTGCCAGTCTGCAACCCCGATATGACCGTCTACGTCTTAACTTGGAAGAGGCTTTAAAGAAAGAAGACCAACCAGAAACTAAAGACCAACTGGTGGTTCTTCTGGACACCTGGGAAAAACTCTACAGCATGTCCAGTGCTGCTGCAGAGAGGTAAGAAATTTATTACAATATATTTTTACAATAAGGAGAAAAAAAGTTTATGAAAGAGTGTGAAGCAATATGATAATTAAAGTGGAAAGATGAAATATGCTAGATATGCAAGGAGATACAGAGGAGAAAAAAGGTGTTTCCACTAGACAGATTAAATGTGCAGTTTAAAGATACAAGATACAAGATAACTCTATTGTCTGAAAGGAAGTTACATTTGGATATTGCATTGCATGAAAAATCAAAAAGTCAAACATATAAATATAAAGGAAGTGTTAGATATACATAAAATCGTTTTCTCCAAACATTCTGCCTTTCAGAATCAGTGAGATAAGTGTGGTGCAGGCTAGCCTAGGTCGAGCACGTGAAGTAGTTGAGAACTGTGAACATTCATTACTAGACCAGGATGGTATGTCTGCTGACCTTGATAAAATACAAGTCCAGTACGATACCCTACAGGTGAGGCCTAGGAAACTCAGTAGTTAATGTTTGTTTAATATTAGAGTTGATATTCAGGCCTAGGAAACATTACTTAATGGTCTTGTAAAAATAGGCCCCTTTTGGCAGTGTATGCTGTTTAGATCAATAATTTGGCCGGTATGTTGTAATCCAGTAGTTGTCCATAGTTGTTCATATTTTATATAATTTGCACACCTGTATTTAGATGAATGCAACAAATTACAACCAATCACATTAAAATTGATGGGGATGTATATTTCAAGAAGTCAACATGTGAGAATGCTGCTTATTTCTTTTTGTTCATTCATATATGCTTGTGGATATATCTTTTCAGGAGCTACAGCGAACACTGCCACCATTTCAGGTTGTCATAGACCAACTTGTGAAAAGTACTATCAAGGTGAGGCGGCTATCCCAGAGGGCTCCCTTGCCTGATGACCACACTCTTCAGAAGGATGTTAATGAGGTTAAACTTCGTTGGGATGATGTTTGTGTTCAGACCCATGAAAGGTAAGTCATATTGGACTGATTTTTTTGATAAAATACAAGAGCTTGTTGAATACTTTAGGAGAAGAATTGGACAGAATCTGCATCAGCAAGAAAATTAGAAATAAAACAAAAGATAATAGATTTTATGACATGATGTTCAGAAATGAAAGGTGGATCAGAGATGTAAAAGAAAGGAGATTGTCTTAAAAAGTGAGTGGAAGGTAGAGAATTACAATACTTTATCTTTATGCCTGAAAGTATGACCCAGAAAAAATAAGATTATCACCGAAAAAGTGTATTTGTTTATGTATATCTATATATCATTGTGTGTGTTTGATATATTATTTTGTTTTAAAAGTAGTTGTACATTTGAAGTAGTTTTAAAATCACATGATCACACATCAAAAATTACATTTTGGTTTGCCTTCTTTGGTGTTAGTGTACATGTAGATACTTAAGCACAAAATGTAAGTATGTCAACTACATTGATGAACACATGGCCTGTTAACTTAATACATTGCTAGTTTGTTATTTTACTGTCATATAAATATAAGTCATAAACATAAATGTAAGTCAAATTTGTTGCTACTTTTAGGTTGATGAGGCTGGACCTAGCAAGTGATAAACTACAGGAGATGACTGAGTACCTTACCAGGGAAAGTAATTGGATATCAGAGGCGGCAGTTACTCTGCTAAAGTTTGAGATCATTGACCATGACATACTGACCGTGCAGCAGCAGTACCATGCTGCCAGGCTATTCAATGCAGAGGTTGAGAACCGCTGGCCTAAAGTTGAAGACGTGCTAAAAAAAGGCAGTTCATTTATTGATGAAGTCAATGTAAGATGGCTTTATTTAGTCGTTATAATATAAGACTAAACACTGTAAGAGTAAGATCAACATATTTTAAAAATTCTTAATTTTGAGATAAAAAAAAAAATATAAAAATTTTTACCACTTTCAATGAAAAATTCATCCCTAATTTAAATTTTAATTAGCTACTTTTCACAAAACATTATTAACATTGTTCCTTTTATTTTATTGTGGTTCACTTAATTCATTGTTATTGTATTGTTCCAGGGAGTCGCATTTTCTTCCGGCGACCATGGGTTTCCCGCTTTTGTGTCTCCCGGGCAACAATCCCAAATGGATAAATAAAATAATTTAAAAAAGTATTATTAGTATTATTTTCTTAATGTGTTTTTTTAGCAATAATCTTTTGCTTGAAAAATCTTGGTTCCAGACAAATGTTGTAATGGAATATCAAAATAATATATGTGGTATTTTTCCAATATATAGGTTTATGATGCAGCTCAAGATAGCTATGCTAAACAACTTGAAGAGTTTCACGACTTGACAGCAACAAAGCGCCCACGAATTGAATCTGGAGCTGAGGTGGTGCAAAAGGAACTTGAAATCTTCAAAACACGTTACGAAGAACTGTCTATGAATGTTACCGAGAAAATCGAAGTCATCGACTCCGTGGGGAAACAACTCAATGTAAGGGTTATAATAGTTTTATCATTATTTTATCATGTTCAGAAATCTATTATTACAATTAATACATTGTTTAAAAAGTGTTCTAAGAAAAAGAACCTGCTGGTTGAAGGGCTTGTATTTGTAAAAAGATTACATATTATAATTTTTCTGTCTAATATGCCATATAATCTATGCTTCAGTAATGTTTATAGTCGATATGCATGTCTCAGTGTGCAGTAGTAATAATAATAATATCGGATTTCGAAAGCGCAAACATCACCACCAAAATTGGTGCAGTGTCAAAAAACAGGCAGAGAACAAACAGGAATCACGAACATCAATGTGTAAAAAATATGTTTTTTTGTAAATATAATTCTTGAAAATTAGTTCAGCAGTGTATTGTAGATTGAAATAATTGTAGTAGAAAAATGTGTTAGTAAATTAAACATTTTGTAAAATATACTGAAGGCCACTTTTATTTATACTTGCTGTATAATGGTAGGGGAGGGGTGTGGAGTTGGAATCACAAACATCAATGTGTAAAAAATATGTTTTTTTGTAAATATAATTCTTGAAAATTAGTTCAGCAGTGTATTGTAGAAAAATGTGTTGGTTAATTCAGCATTTTGTAAAATATATTGAAGGCAAGGCCAGTAGGGGAGGGGTATGGAGTTGGCTATCCAAATATATGAAGTTGAATTTGAGAATAATAGTTATTTAAACTCTATTTTGTTAGTATTCAACTTAAGTACTAATTTAGGTAACCAGTTTAAATAATTTTTCTTCCAACGTCTTTAATAATTATATAATCAGATGGCCAAGTGGCTTATTATAAAACATATTTATTTAATGTATACAAACACAGTGCCCCGATATTTATGGGCAACCACACTGCAGACCTGCATATCGGCTATTGAGTTGTATATATTAACTATGTCACAGTAATAACCATATGATTGCACTTCTTACAGTTATCTGCTGCTTCAATTAATACAGGTCATTATTGCCTGTAGCAACAGGCAGTATCACCAAAATAATACTAAAAAATTTGTACTACACGATAATATATTATTCTTGTTCTTAATCATAAACACACAGGTATATTTACAGCTTTCTAATGAGTGTGCATATATGTATTGATATTTCTATTTTATTAAAGTTGTGTTTTATATTAAAGTTAACATGGCATCATTATCACCAGACACACTAACTCAAACCTCAATGATGTTCACCTGTCATTGATATAATATATCATTTCATTATTTTTTTTAGAATTAAAAATAGGTAATCCATTGGAATATAATTGCCCATGAAATGTGGTGTATTTTGATGTGGTCTAATGGAGGCAGTGTCAGTTGGTACTGGTCTGCTTACTGGCAGACAGTCCCCATGTCTTTTGTAATAAGTGTACCAAGTTCTTTAAAATACACACAAGCCCAAAATTCATGCGGAACTAAAAGACTGTGTACTGTAGTAACCTGTTTGTAAAAACCCATTTCTGTTCCCCTAAAAAGTCTCATTACTCACTTTTTTTAAATTAGGATCTTCTTATATTATAAAGTTTTTGGTCCCAACATTTTGAAAAGCAATTCCCTACTTTTTACAATACAGTATGTTTATGTCCCAACGTTTGTAAACGATGGGCACGGCCTATGAGAATTTATGTCACGTTTGTGAATGTATGTATCCTGTCTATATGAGTGTGTTTCTTGATCTCTTCTTAAGAAATTTATTACATTACTTGTTCATGAAACACTTCTTTATATCCAATATGATATTGTTTGAAGGTTTGCATGGCGAAGTATAATATATAATTAATGCTTGCGGTACACCACGTAGATAGTTCTGAAAAGAACTGTTGTTGTTGGTTGAAAATATCTCGACGTTTCGGTTGACTTGCTTTAACCGTCTTCAGGAGAATAATATCTGCAGAGATCTCAAACAGGGAAATACATATATGTTTGAGTGATGAGACTTGCTGCTGATTGGTTGAAAACTAAACAAAGGCTGAGCCTACCAGTGAAAAGCTATACAAAAGCTAAAATTCATGGTCTGAATAGAAGGGCGGGGTGTGGCTAGAAAGCCAAGACAGTGGCATTGTTCTAGCTGGGGGAAGGAAAGCCAAAAAACAATGGCATAGTTTCCAGCGTAGAGGGAAAGATTTGGCGGGAAAAAATATGATATTGTCCTACTGTTTGCTATGTTGATTTATAGTTTTGGGAAACATTGTCCTTTCCTCTCATATAGGTTTACGTTTATTCATTTGTGAAAATATGTTTCTACCCCTTATAATATATAAATTAATATTATAAAGCAACCAACAATGGGCTTGTTTCACAATATTTATGGTATACTTATTACAATATAGTGGCACATAATTAACAATATCACCTAGTTTTAATAAATTCCAGCAGTATCACCATTTTTAACTTCATCAATAATTATTAATAGTCATAGTTTTAACATCACTATGTTCTTGAAATATGTACAAAAAATATTCACACTAAATAACAATGATTCAAGCAAAAATGTATTTTTCTGTTTTAAAAGTTTCTATTTAAAACTAATAGTTGCTTTTCTATTCTGTTTTCTACTCTTGGAACAAATATCAAAAAATGTTCCATCTTCATATAGTGCTCAGTATTGCTTCCATCTGTTTCAATAGAATATAGAATTTAAAGATTGTTTGCCTTGCTAAGATCATAAGCATGTCTGGTAATAAATGTCTTCAAAAATAATTGGCTCCCTGTCTTCCCGATGGAACTCAAAGAGAGCATGTGCAGAAAGTAATATTTGTTACTTGCTAAGCTGTTGAGAGAACTTTATCCTGATTGGCTAATTAAGTTTTTTTCCTGATGTGAGAAGGTAAGTTTTATATGCTTGAATTGGTGTTGACATTGCTGTACACCCTCCCTCTGCATGTATGTAGTTTGCCAGTTTTAGTATTACTGTAGATGTTTTAATCAATGCTAGTTATCTTATGAAGTTTTATATACATATTGCATTATATATATATATATATATATATATATATATCTACCTTTCGCATGATTAACCTCCGGTTCAATATTGTAGCATGGCAAAGGCTAACTAATTCGTAGCATGAAACAAATATGTTTCATCTCAGTAATCTTATTTTAACACTCTATAATTGTTTTTTTTTTATTCACTATATGGACTACTGCAGCACTAATGTTTTGTCTTAAGAACTGTTCAATACACCATTCTATTCTGCACCTTTCCTTTAATTCTTTAGTCACAATTCCAAATAAAGGTGATTGACCTTTTATAATGATCATGTTCTCTGACATATTTATAAGTTGTTTTGATAAAAAGTTTTGATTTGTTTGTCATGTTTTATCAAATATTGAATTTGCAGTTTTTTCTTTTTAATATTTTATGATTAGCTTGTTGATTTTGTTGATATTTTGAGGTAGTTCGTAGATTAACTCCTTGAAGTGAGTAGAAGAGATATTGTTTAAAAAATAGATAACTGAAATAAAGTTATTTAAATATGTAGTAGTACAGTATATATATTATAGAAGATTGTAGAAATGGCTACACTCCACAAGCTAATTCATTTGAATAATACCATATTAATTAAATTCTATATATGCCAAGGGTATATTAAACTATGATATTTTTATAACAATAATAATTGTATTAATGAATTTTAGATTTTATTCTAAATCAAATTTAATTCTTCTAACTTTTACAGATTGATGTTGAAACAAGAAACCAGTCTGAAGTAGGAGTATTTTCACTGCCACCAATTCAGGTTGAGATGGTTCATAGAAGATTTATTCTTCAACAACCATCAATTAAACAATTCATTGAATATCAAACTGTTCCCAGAAGCTCTCAGTTCATCACAAGATCAAGGGGCCCTGAAATGCGGTTACCATATACCGGTGATCCGCCAAAGAGCATATATACTGTCAGTGATGAGAACATCAAAGCTGTTAGACCAAAAGAGAGACATCCTCCGATATTGAATGATCAGTCAAAACAGCAGAAACTACCTATAATCATTGAAAGTGTTTCCAAAAGTAACAATTTGGAAGCTAGAGTTGTTAGACCAAAGGAGAGACCTACTCCAATAAAATATGTTCAACTTAAGGAACAAAAATCACCTTCGGTGAATGTTAAAATTGTTTCGTTTCAAGATGCAGTGACTAAAAAAGACAGCGTATTGAATTCAAAATCTGAATCCTGTGATGAAAGTATTGATAGAGGGGGATCTGCCGAAGGCGATATTACTGTAAAAAATCAACAACATGTTCAAGTGGAGAAATCCGAGAATTCTGCTTTATTAAAAAGTTTTGATTTGTTTGTCATGTTTTATTAAATATTGAATTTGCAGTTTTTTCTTTTTAATATTTTATGATTAGCTTGTTGATTTTGTTGATATTTTGAGGTAGTTCGTAGATTAACTCCTTGAAGTGAGTAGAAGAGATATAGTTTAAAAAATAGATAACTGAAATAAAGTTATTTAAATATGTAGTAGTACAGTATATATATTATAGAACATTGTAGAAATGGCTACACTCCACAAGCTAATTCATTTGAATAATACCATATTGATTAAATTCTATATATGCCAAGGGCATGTTAAACTATGATATTTTTATAACAATAATAATTGTATTAATGAATTTTAGATTTTATTCTAAATTAAATTTAATTCTTCTAACTTTTACAGATTGATGTTGAAACAAGAAACCAGTCTGAAGTAGGAGTATTTTCACTGCCACCAATTCAGGTTGAGATGGTTCATAGAAGATTTATTCTTCAACAACCATCAATTAAACAATTCATTGAATATCAAACTGTTCCCAGAAGCTCTCAGTTCATCACAAGATCAAGGGGCCCTGAAATGCGGTTACCATATACCGGTGATCCGCCAAAGAGCATATATACTGTCAGTGATGAGAACATCAAAGCTGTTAGACCAAAAGAGAGACATCCTCCGATATTGAATGATCAGTCAAAACAGCAGAAACTACCTATAATCATTGAAA